GGGCCCAACAAACGCCGCAGATTCTGAGAACACCAGCCAAATGTCTTTCCTTTTGTTTAGTTTTTTTACACACTGTAAAATATTTTTAAGTGCAGATTGTGGTTTTGTAGAGCCTGGGTATGCATTTCACTTTCACAAATGAGTTTGTGTAGGCAAATGTTTTAAACAGGTTAAAGTATAAGTTTTAAGTTGCTCTGTATGATCTCCCATCCCCAGCAGGAGCCTTAAAGGATGTTTCCTGAAACTGATTGAGCCCAGTTCTGGGGTAAAAGACCTTTATGCTTATGATTGCTTACTGAAGAGTCTTCATCTAGGGATGAGGGTTTATCTGTGTATGGAAACAACTTCAGGGTGGACATTCAGCTTTGTATAGCCCTATTTTCTTCTTTTTTTATTAATTCCTTTTCTAAAGTATAGATTAGCCTTTGTCCGTCTTGTCCTCTGCAACGCTTGCCTTTCTAGTCAACTTTCAAATAAATTCACAACTACATGTTACATACATTTTCAGTGTTACTGGTAGCATTCTTGGATTTTAATTTATTTGTCTTTGTACATGAGGGCTGTTACAAAGAAGAAATTAGTTTCAAACTAGATGTCCCAAACACTCTTATTTTGCATCTGCTACTACCAGGACTAAGAGGAGGGGTTGCTGTGGGACCCTGAATACAGTTTGAGTGTCGCCTGAACTTTAACTGGATTTCTCATTGAACGGTCATTATCTGGGGTCTCATTTATACAACTGTGTGTAGAAACCTTACTAAAAGTGTACGTGCAGCCGAAAGCCAAAAATGGTGTATGGCAAAAAATATTCAGACTTTTAAAACTGTGCCTATGCCCGTTTGAGCATACACAGAGAAAGGAGGATTATAGGATGACGAGACATTCTTTTATACAACACTTTATTCAAGTACCTGCGCAAAATTCCCTTTATGAATTCCAGTCAGCGGAAGATTGTGCGCACATACATCTCCCCGAAATAACCACATATGGAGCGTACAACGCTTAGTTTTACTATGCATATTGTCCTCTGTATAACATTTGCATATGCATATTCATCCACATGATACCATGTTTAACGGTACAAGACATTAGGAAAATATGAGATACGGGTGCCGTCACATTACATTGCTTAAAATGATTTAGTAGCCTATCCTTGCCTTGTTTTAAAATGTTAATTGAATCAAATAGTATTAAATACACTTCAGAGAACGTTGTTCAATCTTTTCCAATGGCCAAATGGTATTTTTAATTGCTTTATATTTTTAATGGAAACAGATGTCTTAATTGTGCATTATGGATCATTATTTGCAGGTGCGCAAATTTTCCCGTCAAGTTTGTTTTAATAAATCACAACTTATGCTTCGGAAGCATAGGCTACCTGTTAACACTCCCGTTTTCCACACGGTATATATATATATTATAGGCCATATAGCCTACTTGTAAAAGCTATTTCAGGACATCTGTATTATATATATATATATATATAGGGTCAGTTTTGTTGCCAAAGTCATAAAATCACCAAGTTATTACGAATAGAGTAGGCCTACGTATCTGGAACGTTGTTGGTTATCTTATAACCTAGGAGGACATACTGACGACGTTGTGGGTTGGTAATATGATGGTAATGAAATTAGAGCATGCGACGTTGTTACGTTGTCAATTAGTAAAGTCATGACGTGACGAAAAAGTACGAATACATTACGTAACTGTTACGTCGTGTTTTAGCTGGATAACCCTCGGTTTAATCTTGTCTATATACGGTAACCTATAATAAAAAAATAGAATAGAAGATCATGCTGAAAAAGATGCGTCTTCATCCTTTTAAAAAGTTTTTACTCTAGTAACTTGAGCGCTTCACACATCCATTTAAATCAATAAAATAGGTTCCATTTCATTCACATTTACAAATACACACAAATTTACGATATTATATGTTTATATATAGGTCCTTCTCAAAAAAATTAGCATATTGTGATAAAGTTCATTATTTTCCATAATGTAATGATAAAATTTTAACTTTCATATATTTTAGATTCATTGCACACCAACTGAAATATTTCAGGTCTTTTATTGTTTTAATACTGATGATTTTGGCATACAGCTCATGAAAACCCAAAATTCCTGTCTCAAAAAATTTGCATATCATGAAAAGGGTCTCTAAACGAGCTATTAACCTAATCATCTGAATCAACTAATTAACTCTAAACACCTGCAAAAGATTCCTGAGGCTTTTAAAAACTCCCAGCCTGTTTCATTACTCAAAACCGCAATCATGGGTAAGACTGCCGACCTGACTGCTGTCCAGAAGGCCATCATTGACACCCTCAAGCAAGAGGGTAAGACAGAAAGAAATTTCTGAACAAATGGGCTGTTCCCAGAGTGCTGTATCAAGGCACCTCAGTGGGAAGTCTGTGGGAAGGAAAAAGTGTGGCAAAAAACGCTGCACAATGAGAAGAGGTGACCGGACCCTGAGGAAGATTGTGGAGAAGGACCGATTCCAGACCTTGGGGGACCTGCGGAAGCAGTAGACTGAGTCTGGAGTAGAAACATCCAGAGCCACCGTGCACAGGCGTGTGCAGGAAATGGGCTACAGGTGCCGCATTCCCCAGGTCAAGCCACTTTTGAACCAGAAACAGCGGCAGAAGCGCCTGACCTGGGCTACAGAGAAGCAGCACTGGACTGTTGCTCAGTTTTGCATGTCATTCGGAAATCAAGGTGCCAGAGTCTGGAGGAAGACTGGGGAGAAGGAAATGCCAAAATGCCTGAAGTCCAGTGTCAAGTACCCACAGTCAGTGATGGTCTGGGGTGCCATGTCAGCTGCTGGTGTTGGTGCACTGTGTTTTATCAAGGGCAGGGTCAATGCAGCTAGCTATCAGGAGATTTTGGAGCACTTCATGCTTCCATCTGCTGAAAAGCTTTATGGAGATGAAGATTTCATTTTTCAGCACGACCTGGCACCTGCTCACAGTGCCAAAACCACTGGTAAATGGTTTACTGACCATGGTATTACTGTGCTCAATTGGCCTGCCAACACTCCTGACTTGAACCCCATAGAGAATCTGTGGGATATTGTGAAGAGAAAGTTGAGAGACGCAAGACCCAACACTCTGGATGAGCTTAAGGCTGCTATCGAAGCATCCTGGGCCTCCATAACACCTCAGCAGTGCCACAGGCTGATTGCCTCCATGCCACGCCGCATTGAAGCAGTCATTTCTGCAAAAGGATTCCCGACCAAGTATTGACTATGAGTGCATAACTGAACATAATTATTTGAAGGTTGACTCTTTTTTTTTTTTGTATTAAAAACACTTCTTTTATTGGTCGGATGAAATATGCTAATTTTTTGAGACAGGAATTTTGGGTTTTCATGAGCTGTATGCCAAAATCATCAGTATTAAAACAATAAAAGACCTGAAATATTTCAGTTGGTGTGCAATGAATCTAAAATATATGAAAGTTTAATTTTTATCATTACATTATGGAAAATAATGAACTTTATCACAATATGCTAATTTTTTGAGAAGGACCTGTATATAGCTGCTCAACAATCGGCATGCCGGCGGTGTGCCGACGGAGGACCAACCGCGGCAAACCGCTGGTGGCGTGCCACCCAAAAAAAGCTGGCAGACCGACCGCATTTTCAGATTGGTCGGCTTGCCGAAGGTGTGCCGCCGGAGGTCCGACCGTGTCAAGCCGCTGACTTTGTGCCACCCAAAAAACGCTGGCGGTCCGCCAGGTCATTGTTAGCTGGCTTTTATTATTGTATGTTCTACTATTAAAGTTGTGCAGTTTTGAGGGGGATATATGGCATTTTTTTTTATTTGCCAAAATTATTAACGATATTTATAGGCAGGTTTATTAAAAGTAGCAACGTTTTATGTAAAATTCACATTAAAGAAGACATTTCGCAGTTTCATTCATGTTGAAAACATGAAACGTGCCATAATTTAGTGGAAGATTGCTGCCATCAACTCCCAAACAAACACTTGCTATAGTTTGTGCATGAATGACATTTGGACGATGACATCATGTTTTATCCAGAGCGGCTATATGGCTATATAAATTAAATATATTTTTTTTATAACAAAATAAACCATCACTGAACATACTTAAACTGGATTATGACACTATTTTCTTCTAGATCTGCTGTACAGGAGAAGCAAACTTTGTTGCATTATTTTCCTATTATCACTGGCTAAAAAGCGCTATATAAAAATAAAGGGGACTTGACTTGAATGCTTTATATATATATATATATATATATACATAGAGAGAGAGAGAGAGACTAAATAATCACAAACACAATGATGGGTGAAATGGGCTGTAATGCATGGGGCACCATAGGGCAGCAAATTGGTCAGGGCCGGCCCTGATTGAGGCTGGCTTTCATTCATAAAAAGATGCCAAGTATTTAAAATATAACAATTTAAAATAAACTGCCTTTATGTTGTTTCTACATTAATTTTTTTTAAAGCGATTAATAATTTTGGTACCCGAATGTTGCAGGTATAGCCTACCTATGGTCGGAAGTGGCGCACGCCTCTCACGTTTGAGGCCCCTGGACTCCCTACTTTAATAATTTGTCAGGCATGTTTATTTTATGCATATTATTACTGTTATAAATTGGCTTAGTTTAAATGAAAAAAAAATTGGCTTAAGATCATATTTCAATTATAGGCCTATATTAGGATCGATCATACATTTTCATGTATTTTACTCAAAATGTGTGCATCACCAAGTAGTAATGCTGCATATTCATGTGAAATAGGTTAACTAATAGTTTAGTTATAATGATAAGACGATAACGATAAAACTAATGATGAAACGATTATGCCTAAGATTTAGGCTATTTGTATGGTAGAACGGACTCTTCCAGTTGAACAGTTCCTCGAATAGTTATCCCCGTTTCGATTACGCATGCACGTAGGAGGGGCTTTAACTATAGGAACGACTAAAGGCCATTTTGCACGTTTTCTCGAATTCTCAGCAGCAGCTATATTTTATTTTTTACGACGAAATGGCAGGTAAGACTATGAATAATTTATGTGTGAGAGTTTGAAAACTTAAATAGTTTGGCTTGGCGTAGCCTATTGTATTCATTTTTGAAGAAATCACTCAACAAGAATGAGATGAAAAGTGAAAGTAAAAAAAAAGTAGCCTACTGCCTACCTGTATAAAAAAAAAAAAAAGACATCGAACCGTTTCCAATTTATGTTAAGATTTAAGACATTTAGCAGACTACTATTACGGAAAGTAATTTGAGGTAAATACAAGCATTCAGAAACTTGAGAAAACTAGTAAAATAGTAATAGCCTACATTGAATATCATCTGGCAATAATTAAATTGAATATGCAAAACATTTTACTTAACAAAGTGCTTTCCTTTAGATAACGTCTTGGAAAAATGTCGCATTGAACTGAGGGATGGTTTGACCGAGGCTGTTATCAAAAGTTTGTCGGATGATCTTCGGAAAGAAAATGTGTTAGGCAAAGAGGAGATTGAAGAAATATTGCAGAAGACCAAAACGCGAACTGATCAAGCTCGTGATCTGATTGACAGCGTGGGGAAAAAAGGGCGGAAAGCAAGTGAAATTCTGCTCAAATGGTTGGAGAAAAGAGACAAGCATTTTTACGAGTCCTTAAACATAGACGGCTATTCAGCAATTCAGGAAGCAGGAGCGACCTCTAGTCACCTATCAATAACGGCAGGTACAGTTTCATGAATTATTCAATAATCATGTTTAGCTTTCATTAAAAAAAAGTATCTTTTCTTGGTCAATTTTACTTTTACAGTTTAAAAAAATGACATTTTCATAATTAGTTTTTCTTAAAATATGTTTTACAATTAAACTTTGTAATGATTAACTAAAGAGTGGAAGCATGAATATATTGAAAAATATTAAACTTTAAAGACTTATGATACTAACATATCTCTTGTCCCCCCAGATAAACCAAACACCACGGTAATGAAGTGGAGGGAGCAAGATGCAACATTTTGAAATGATACTTTTTTCACAAATTATTACATTTTCAGACTTTTCAGATTTTATTCTTGAATTGGATGTGCTCTGTAACGCCTGTTCTTTTGTTCTAGACTGATGAGTACAAAATGGACAGTAATCCACGTGGACTTTGTGTAATAATTAATAATGAGAACTTTGAAGACTCTGGCAAAAAACGAAATGGATCCCAAAAAGATGTTGGTATGCAGTAAATGATTTTTCATTTTTAATGCTTATGAACCACAAAACAACACACCCTTCTTTTTAGAAGAGGCTTATGAACAAGGAACTGTGTATCATTCCTGTTTTTTCTTTTCTTTTTGTCCTCTTCATTTTCTTTCCTTCATTTGTTGTTGTAATTGCTCTGTGAGTCTATGTGGTCATGAATTTTTTTACCTTTACCTTATGTACTTGTCTTGTATGTGCTTGCCCCCCCAGAAAGACTGAAAGACTTGTTTAAATATTTGGGCTTTCTGGTTGAAATCAAGGAAGATCAGACCACATCTGAAATAAAACAGCTCATGATCAATTACAGTAAGGATCCCCGTCATACAGACTGCTTTGTCTGTTGCGTAATGAGTCATGGAAACGAGACTGGTGTCGAGGGATGTGATGGGCAAATATGTCCCCTGAATGACATCACCTCCCCATTTGATGGAGACAACTGCACCTCTCTTATTGGCAAACCTAAAGTCTTCTTTATACAAGCATGTAGAGGGCATGAGATGCAGAGTAAAGTGCTGGTTGCAGATGGTTCTGGTTTCAGCCGTATCCAGATATCTGGCACAAAATACAGCATTGCCAAAGATTCTGATTTTCTGATTGCCATGTCCACGGTGGAGGGATATTATGCGATTCGTCATCCAAACAACGGATCATGGTTTATACAGTCCCTTTGCAAGCATTTAGAAGATGGAAGTAAACGGTGAGCTATCCACTACACTGGCCTTTTTTTGCATGCAGTAATACTGTAATGGTTATTTTAAGCCTGTTTGGTTTATATGTTAAATTGTTTCTTCCTTCATTTTTAGAGACCAGGACATCTTGAGGATCCTCACTAAAGTCAATGATGAAGTAAGCCGTAAGGAGGGCACTATAAACAAAGACAACAAAGTAATAGATGCAAAGATGACTCCTCAGCCCCATTTCACTCTGAGAAAGCTTCTTGTTTTCAGAGCTCCGAAGGTCAGAACTTAATCTCGTTTTATTTATTCATAACAGACATCGATTAAAGTTCTGTGCAGTGTGTTATGCTGTGTAAATTCAAAACGGAATATTTTTCCGTTGATGCATCTTCTTAAACTAGAATTCCTATATGTTCAAAGTAGCAGCCTTGTGGTTTCTGTACATTGTTGTGGTGATATTTTTCAGTTCAATCTACATTAGAAAATTTACATTGAACAACATTTCAGATAAAAAAATATTTATCAAATCGAGCTCTCTCTTCATTCCCCATTCCCAGGCTGCTGCTTCTAAATAGAAGAAACCACCATCATCTTTCAGCTGCAGAAGAAGAAAATCTTGCCATTGACATGCCAGAGAAATTCAATTATGTTGACAGAGAGAATTTCTACAGAAATCACCTCTGCTTGTTATATAAGATTTAATTTTTTTTTGGTCATGTACCACATTTAACCATGTAAACAAAAAGAAGGGAATGGTTTTATTGTTAAGTGTCAAGAATATGAATTATAATAGGCCTATAACGGTATTGATGTTTTTTTTTTTTTCAATTAAATCGGATCTAATACTCTTACTCTTGAACTTTTTTGGCTGCGGACAAAAGCACCTATACATACCAACAGGACACTGAAGACTATAATTCACATATGGGCTTTAATTTACAATAAACTATCTATTAAAACTAAATTCACTTAAAAAAAAAAAAAACCTTTATTTAACATTGACGTGGACAAAACAAACTGTAATGTATCATCTCTATATACATACATTTTTCGTGGGAATGGATAACAAGCAATAAAGTGAATCAAAATGCTGCTGTTTCGCTTAGTTAATCATGAATGCCCCAAAGTAAGTGGCTTCCTGAGGGAAGCGCACATCGCTTATGTTCAGCACATACAGGGAGAGCCTGTCGCCTTTTTCTAAGCGGAACAGCGCCCCCTGGTGGTTGGAATAAAGCTGTACACCAGACCTTACGCTCACACAGGGAGTCACTATGGCTTTTGCAAGCATCACTGGTCGTGGATAAGATGCTGTCTTCTTGTACAAGTATTGCGTAAAGTGCCTACTCTGTCCTAATTGTGTTTCGAAATTAACCTGGGAGAAAACAAAGTAAATTCCGTCGTGTGGCACCACTATTTCCCCTTCGGGGCTCAAGCTCATTAACCCTTCCTGACTGAATTGGCCGTTCATGTTGTCCCACTGGATACGATCCAGCTCAGGAGTTTCGTCTGCTGAAAGTAAAGAGAAGAATTTTGTGATCATTAGCCTATTAAACTTAACCACATTATATTTGTTGTAAAAAGTGATCAGTTGACTAAACTTAAAAAAGTGAGGAAACCCGCTGCCCTATTAAGTAAATAAACTTCATGATTATAGAAAAAATTAAGTTATGTAAACTTGACAATTCCACATAACTTAATTTTTTTAATTATGCATGTAGTTAATTAATTTTAGTTGACTTACCTTTTCTTTTTAAGTTAAGTCAGCTGATCATTTTCTACAGTGTTATACAATCTTGTAAAGTGTAAATAGTGTATTGTACTCTGGGGAAGATCCTACCATTTTTCTGAAGCCTTTGATATTGTTTAAGCTCTTGTTTTGCCCCGACATGCACAGCTGGTTTGAAAATCTCAGTGATGTTATGTTCTGTAAAGTCCAAGAACATACTTTCAATTAAATTAGTCACTATGTCTGATTTCGAGGCAATTGATAGTAAAATCTGGGAAATATACAGCATCTCAAAACATCAATCTGTGCGCTCTTGACACACTCCTTACATCTTTTTTCAAAACTGTGTTTAACTATTTAGAATCAGATCTCCTAGAAGTGGTAAATGCCTCACTTCTTCCCCCCCTCCCCCTTTTTAAAGTCCCTGAAAACAGCAGTTGTTAAGCCCCTCCTGAAAAAAAGCAATCTGGAAAACACCATCTTGAGCAAATAGACCAACCTCAAATCTTTTCACAGGCAACATTATCAAAAAAAGTGGTTTTCAATCAGCTGAATAAATTCTTAAGCTCGAATGGATACTTGGACAATTTTCAATCTGCTTCCCAACCGCATCATAGTGCGGAGAGGAGACATAATAAATGATTATTCGTATAAATACAGATACAGGCAAATTATCAGTGCTGATCTCAGAGCTGCATTTGACACAGTATACCTCTTGACAGGCTAGGAAACTAGGGCTTTCTGGTATGATTCAGGTCATACTTAGAAGGGAGGGGGGAACATGTGACCATAAGTCTAAGTGGACATCCATGACATGCGGAGTCCCACAAGGTTCAATTCTTGCGCCACTCCTGTTCAACTTGTACATGGTCCCACTAACCCAAATAATAAGAACCAAATTGCTTACCACAGCTATGCAGATGACACCCAGATACTTAGCCCTATCGCCTAACTACAGCATTGATTCCCTGTGCCAATACATTGATGAAATGAACAGTTAATTAACTTTTTAGTTAAACAACGACAAACTGAAGTCATTGCATTTGGAAACAAAGATGAAATTCTCAAGGTGAATGCATACCTTCACTCTAGGGGTCAAAAAACAAAAAAATCAAGTCAGGAATCTTGGTGTGATTTTGGAGTTGGACCCTATATCAGTAGTCACGTCAAAGCGACAACTAAATCAGCTATCATCTCAAAAATATTGCAAGAAGTAGATACTTAAGTTTCCAGTCAAGAAATTTGTTCATGCTTTCATCACCAGCAGGGTGGACTATTGTAATGGACGCCTTACCGGCCTTCCCAAAAAGACCATAAGACAGTTGCAGCTCATACAGGACGCTGCTGCTGCCAGGATTCTGAGCAGAACCAGAAAAACTGATCATATCACACCAGTTACATTTAGAATTGACTATTACTTGTTTATAAATCACTCAATGGCCTAGGACCTCAGTACATTGCAGATATGCTCATTGAATATAAACCTAACAGATAACTCACATCATTAGGATCAAGTCAGTTAGAAATAACAAGGGTTCACTCAAAACAACGCGAGTCTACTTTTAGCTTATGCCACCCCTAGCAGGAACCAGCTTCGATCAGAAGTGCTCCAACAGTAGCCACATTCAAAATCTAGACTCAAAACACATCTGTGCATATTGAAATACATTTTAAATCAATGTCTTATTTTTTTGTTTTTATAGTCTTTATATTTCCTACGCACTTGATTATTTCTTTGGCTAGGGCTGGTTGGGAGAAAGGAGAGTGATTTGAGGATGCACACTCAGACGTGAGTGAAAAGACACCAGTACCAAGGTCGCAGGCTGGTGTAAATATACATCTGTAACAGGTGTTGTATAAGCAATAATAGCGAACAATAATTTAAATAAATCAATACATTTGTTTTACCTCCTAATGTTCCCAGTACATCATTTTGTATGTCTAGCAACAGCCTCTGTTCAAAAAGAAATTTAGACTCTTAGTATGGAACATCATATAACATGTAGGTTTTAATGTAATAATCTTACATGTAGGCTATATATTACTCAATTTCAAAAATGTATTCATGTTTTGAAGCCGTTTTAAATACCTGCCGTGCAGTTTGTGTCAGTTCTTGATTGAACAAGTCACAACTTGCGATTCCTGCTTGATCTGCTGGTTGGGTGACATCTGAGGAAAGACAGTGGATTGGATACCCTCCATCTCTGCCTGTTTCACGAGTCTTTTAAAGTCAAACAAACAAAACTTACTAAACAAATATATATATATATATATATATATTACAACATGTTTATGGATCACAATTTAACGAAAAACGATTTAACTCACTCTGTGAATATCCTCGCAGAAGTCATAAAGAAGAAACGCTGTGATAAACGTCTCGGTGCTTAATATTAAAGTCAAAATCAAGAAAAATATATACTGCCCTTTTGCATTTTTGTTTTCAGATGTGTTTTCGTCCAGCTGGCAATAATTGGGACTGGTTGGTATGTTTGATGTCATGTTCCGACAGCGTTTTACAGAATATTCGCATGACAGAAAGAGAAAGTAGCCTTTCCTGTCGTTTCCCGAGGGAGTCAAAGGTCTTGGAGCTGTTCAGCGCTCTTCCGCATGTTAGTTTGTTTTCCCTACTATATATATAAAAAAATGTTTTCCCTGCTGGAAAGTCCCGCGGTCACAGCGCCGCCCCGCTTTCTATCAGCCTGATTGAATGAGGATCTGAAAACTGAGGTGAGTTTGCGATGATGTAGCGCTATACATACCCTTACGAAAAATAAGTTTATTCAAGTGTTCTATTTAGTAGCCTATACTTCATTTAAACTAAAAATAAGAAAGTATAGCCTACTTTTAGTCTACATTTTATATACTTCTCAAGAATATACTTTATAGGCTATTTCTCAGAAAAATAGGCCTATTATAGGCTACTGAGAGAAAAGTCCAAGTATATTTGGCCTGTACTTGTAGGCTACTCAACCTTTTGATCAATATACTTAAAAGTATAATTAAGTATTCAAAGTATACTTGGCTTGTAGTTGTGTTAACTCTTTTGATCGAGTAGCCTATTAAATATACATAATTACTAAATTTACATAGTTTTTCATATAGGCCTACAGTCTAATTAAACTTACATTGTTTGAAAATATTGATATAACGTTACTTCTTTTTCGTAAGGGTAGGCTATAACTTATACAGTTGTTCGTGTTATTTTTCTTTAGGGAAGAAGATCCTGCAGATATACGTTATATTATAATTTCAGGCTTTATACGTGATTTTTTTTTAAATGTGTTTTTTTTTGACAATTGTCCTTTAAATGATTCAAAATCATTTAGAATTTATAAATGTCTGAAACGCCAGATAAAGAAAGTTAAAATAGAAAAATCACACGAGCTATGGCGTCAAGGCGTAACGTTACCTTACAAATAGCAATCGTCTATTGGGTGACGCTGAGCCAGTGAGAGCTCTGGAGTGACGCTAAATTTTACCAGACAGAAACACTGACCAATTACTTAATACTCCGTCAGAACTACAGCCAATCAGGTCAGGGAGGGGGCGAGACGTGAGCGGAAACCGGAAGCGCCTGCAGGAGCTGTGTGACCTGAGAAGGTCTCCGGCCTTGTGCAAAAGTTGCACGGTGAGCGTGTCTGTGAACCTCCCCAGGCTGTCTTATTGAAAAGCACAGCAGAGCCGCGATGTTTAAGTGCAAGACAGTGTGGAATAAGCTGGCTCCGCTGGCCCGGGCCTCATCCTCTTTGTGTCTGCAGAATGCGCGGAAATCAGGCAAGTTGAGATAACGTTAAACGGCAGAAGTCTGTGGCTCAGCAAATCACCTGTGAACCTCATTTCAGTCTAGCAGAACAACGGCTTGCACAATTTCTATGGAAACACAAGTCCAGGCACCGGTAGGATAAGCGTTTATTTCATCGTGTGGATAGTCAAGCCAGTAAAGCACACTGAGTTGAATTGAATAGATAAACACAACTAAAAGTTTCATTTAGTGCTATCTGCGGTCACACAGCACATTCGAACACAATTTCAGCAAAACTCTTTGCGGCCATTCTGTAAAAATGATTATTTGGCACGAAAAGACTTTATGGGTTAATGCAGGAGTGCAAGTGTTGCAGTAATTTGGCCCAAGGTCGTTGAACGTCAAAGTCTGCCTCTCATACATTTTTTACTGTGACAACTCCATGCCACTGTCATTCTTCGACTAAGTGAATTGTACCGCAGCAGTATTGTGGTTATGGAGATCTTTGTGATGAAATCTGAGAGCTTTCTATGCCTCCATTGACAGCTACGCAACTGACACTTTGACTTTTCAAAAAGTTCATATATAAACATTTATTAGCGAACATAAACAGAAGCTCAACCGCACCTACTTGACAAACTAAAACAAACTTAATTGGTTCTTGCTGAAGTTCAAACGTGCTGCGTAACACAGGAGAATGAACCTTACTGGTTCTCGCAGGTCAAGCAGACATGCTTGAGCTTCCGTTTACCACAACTGATGTGTCAGTTGATGAATGCTTATATGTGAATAAAAGCCTAAATTCGATCTGTTTATCATATAAAGCGATTGTGTCTCTTCAGAAAATTTTAGACTAAACCGCTCAATTCGTATGGGTCAGTTTTATGATATCTGTATGAACATTTTGAAGCGTCAAAGTGTCAGTTGCTTAGCTGTCAATTGAGGGACAGAAAGCTCTCAGATTTCATCAAAAAGATCTACATTTATGTTCCGAAGATGAACAAAAGTCTTACAGGTTTGAAATTGGAACGACATGAGGGTGAGTAATTAATGACAGAATTTTCTATTTTTGGGTGAACTATCCCTTTAAGATAGGCTGACTGTATACTACTATCCTGTATATTACACGGATACATAAATAAATACATGGACATTAAATATTGGTTTTAAATATATATATTTTTTTTTTAAAGAAAAGAGATGAATAGTCCCTATTCCACATTAAAAATGTATAGTGTCCGCTGATGTTTTTTTTTTTAAATACAGTACAGTTGTATGGTAATATCCATTTTGGGTCGCAATCTTTGTAGACTGGAATGCACTACAGGACTTTTTAAAACCTGAACCGATTTTAAAACACTAAGGCTAGGCATCACTTGCAGACTTTGTAAATGGTTACAGAGAAAAACTGGGCAGAGTGGGCATCACACACTAGATTAAACGACTGAGGATCATACACTGAAGACTGTTACATAACTTTTGCCCATGTTTAATCATTTAAGGCATTTTAGAGTTTTCATCGGCCGTGCGTCTCCAAGGAACGAGGCACATGTGAGTTTGTTGTTCCGAACGACTTGAAAGTCTGTTAGTGTCTGTTCCTCAGTCGTTAAGCGCTATGGGAACAGTAAAAATGTCTTCCTATGCATGTAAAGATATTTTTATTCTGGAGTTCGTGAAGAAATGGATAACCATATACCATATGTATATTTGATTTAAGTGTGACATCAGTACAATGAGTTTGAGCAGACTTCTTTTTATAAAGAATTAAGAATTTTTGTTTTTATGATTGACTTTTCAGTGCTGAGACATGGTAGAAGGCTGGATATGGTTCAAAAAGCCCAGATGTCATCAGGGCCAACAGGAGGGGAAAACACTCTGTATTACGTCCTGGTTGGAGCAACATTTCTGGGGGCGGGAGTTTATGTAAGTACTATTGCGGGGTATTATATCACTAAACCAAACAAAACAAAACGCCACAGCAGGCTGAAACATGAGGGTTTACACTGAAGACGCGTCACACTGAACCATTGTACATGTTGCGATCTCTTTATTACGCTATCTCACATACTTAGAAAACCGAAACACTTACTTTGAGCGATGCATTTCATAAGCCGTGCAAAGGTACCTTGGATACATCAGTGGAAGATGTTAACAATGGTGACGGTCAACAGAAAGTTTCACCCCATGCTCACCCAGCAGCCATAATCCAAAACCCAAGCCATTTCACACAGGTGAGCACACACACATTAATACAGACACCACACCCCCGGTCCCGCCCACAGTAACCGATGACGTCGTGATGCGTGTGCACATACACCACAGTACACAGAAAAGAGGGAATATAATCCAAGTCAAACCCAGTGTATGGCTCCTACAAGTACCCCTTTATTATTGGATTCTTCATCAGCCCCATATTGACAATAATATAATGAATATTTATTTCTAGCATAGTTGCTTCAACTTTACTGATATTCACAATCACATCGGTACTGTTCTTGTGTGGGTTGTGGAGTTTGTAAATTGTTAAATTTTTTTTTAATTTTTTTCCAAAGTATGCTCAAGATGTATTGATATACAATATATAAACAGCGTTGCTTTGCTATGCTCTGCCAGTTAAACTGCATTCTCAGTTGCTTTAAAAAAAGATCTGATGTTAGAGGTGTGCCATGAATATAACTGGTAATCATTTACATGTAGCAGACTTTATCACACAAGAGACTGAATCGAAGTGCACTTGGTGAAATAGGTTAATAAGCTTGATATAGCTTATATAGCAGTTGCTTGTATAGCAGTTTCTCAGCACCTCCATTTTAGACTATGGATGAAAGGTTGCATCAGTTTTCTTCAGTGTAGTAAATGTTATAATTTCAATCATAAACGTTCTCACATTTTTTTTGTCCTCCCAGCTTTTGTCTTCCAAATGTTTTTATATATGATGTTGATTCTCATATTTGCAGAGTTCAAAATGAGTGTTGTTTATTTGTTTGTGTGTTTGAAGACATACCGCACTGTCTCAGGGGACAAAGAAAGATATAAGGAGCGTATGATAGAAATTGCCAGTAGGTCTAAGCAAGAGCCACAAGCAGCTGAGGCTGTAGGTAAGTGATTACACTAATCACATGTAGACATGCATCACTGGTCTCATAGCAGTTGTCAGTTGTTTCAATGAATATATTTTCATCTTAAAGAGTTATTGATGTGTGCCTCGTGTCTAGTCATCTTATTTTTTAACATATAACAAATGTTTTTGCCTTTAATTTACTGCTGTCTGTAGCACAGATGTGAAAAAATAATCAGTCTTTGTTGTTTAATTAGTATCAGAGAAGTTTAATTCAGTGGTATCTTGTCTTTTGTGTTTCAGCTGAAGTTGTGGCAAAATCAAAAGAAGGTGAGAGGTTATTTCTATACACTGCTAAATGTGCAGTTTGTGCACATTCACAGCCTTGCACACAGAGCACTGCAGTGCATTACTGAAGCCTTAGCTTAAATATGTCAGTTATCGGATGACTTTCTTATTTGAAAGTTTTTAAAATTCTAATTTTGATTGGAAAACAAAGAGGAAAACATGTGAGATGACCAATACTGTTGTGCTCTGAGGTATCATGGCTCTGGATTGTATTTGTCTATGTCACTGGGGCACACATGAGTATTAATTGCACACAATGTCCTGTTCATGCATGATGACACAACACTTCCATTAGGAAATGTGACTTGGGAATTCTTAACTCTGTTTAGTCTGAAAAGGGATTAACAACCTGAACATATTAAATGGTTTATTATATTATATTCTATTATGTACAATGATCAAGTCAGCTCCTGATTGCATGTTCAGTGTCTTCATTTTGGTATGTGCATAGCTTAACTATCTCGGTTTTATCAGAGTAAAATCAGTTGA